TTTAACACTTGTGCAAATCTGGAAACAATATAAATATGAAAGCCTCTATATTTTTGCAGTGTTACTGCCAATGGCATGAAATTTGGCATCATTTGTAAGTTTGTTAGAGTGGTGTACAAGGATTAATCCCTTTTTTCTTAGATGCTGTTATATCAGAAAAAATTAACATAATTTCATTGAACAGCTCCTTCACTACAACCTGTGATGTCCGCTACGTCCTTTGGCTGCGGCGGAGGAAGTGAGGAACAACAGAAGTGTGAGTCAGCTGCTCTGATTGACATTAGGTTTTATGAAGCAACTTTGATATATAACACGTTTTTTTGTGTTCTTTCAATTAGTAAACAATGACAAAGAGCAGACAGACACCAGTCTTCAGAAAGTCAAGCCAAACAAGGCATGCTGGGGTCAGGAGTTTCAGAACATGCAAAAAAAAAAGGTGATGCAAAGCAACTGTACTTTGAATTGTGCTTACTATTAAAAGGTACAGGTCTTGATTTATTTTTTCTTCCCCTTAGTTAATGGAGGTTTTGGATAAGACCAAAGATCCTAATGAACACCTAGCATTTGTGGACAATGTAGTCCTCACTCGATCAGACTTTTGTAGTCTGGGATTGATTGAGGACATGGATGGAACAGTAAGAATCAAGACCATACTGTCTTTACGCTAATGATGCTTATTGATTATGCAAGTTAGTGTAATTGTTAAACATTTTTTATAACCCATGTGTCTACATTCTGGCAGATCCTGAACAGCTGTCTCAAAGTTATAGAAAAGGTAATGTTTGTAAAATATTTAAATGAAATGGAATCGATACACACAATTTCTTTTTAACAATAATAGATCAACTACATCTGTTACAGAGAGTGGCGGGAGTGTTTGCAGCAAACAGCCATGTTACAGCAACTTGGTTTCCACCAGTGTCCTTGAACCCTTTGGATCACCTGCCGGTAATTTCTTTATTGATTCTTCAATATGTTAGCTTTTTTAGTTTTTAAATAATGAAGTTATTTTTTTAATAAATGAAGTACTCACATTTTATATTAACCTTTTTTCCTTTCTAGGTGAATGCAGCAACTCTGCAGTGCATTCTGCTCCCAGTTTGGATACCTGGACACTGGACTATATGTGTACGTAAATTTTGTTTTAGGCTTTTAGGCTTTTCTGTTTAAACTTACTATAAAACAAAGTCTCCCATTGCCAATTTTAATCATTGCCATAATTGCAGTGCATCACAGCTATAAGTCTTTAAGCATTGCCTGTAGTTTTCTGTTGTGTTCTGTACAAGGTCAACCTTAAAAGACATAAGAAAAATGACAGCAAAAATGTGTGTATGTGTGTCTGTTCATATTCTAACACATTGAACAGATAATGAAACCACAGAAAAGGGAGATTTACTTTCTCGATCCCCTTTATGGCATTGGCTGGAGAGATGACAGTCGAACCCTACCATTCAGGTTTTTAGGGCAATAAAGTTTCGTTCCATCTGGATGGTGGTAGTTCTGTTTTAGACCACCTGTTTTTTTTTTTGTAATCTACGGTTCTGTTTTATATAAACTTTGGATGTTTTGGCACATTAATGTATGACACAATTCCTATTTGATGCTTAAAAGTGATGGAAACAGAACCATAGATAAAATTTCACAGCAGGGCAGTTCTGTTTGAGCCCTTTATGACAATTATTATTATAACCATTAAGAGTTCCTCGGGACATTTTCTGCCATTTTGCCCGGTGGGTGGGGGGGTGTGAATTCTTGACAAAAAAATAACAGATTAACACACCATTAGTTTTTGTGATCAAACAATGCCCAATTTACTCCCATTAAAAATTTAATTTTTGATCCTTTATTTTTTGGAACTAAAAAACAAGTGCTTTCCACTTGTCCACCAGACTTGATCCCATTTTAGGCATACTGAAAGTTCTCTGCCACAAGGAACGAGTGGGTAAGTGAAATTTGCAGAACTCTTAAGGTTAAGTTGAAGTTCCAACCTCTGGAAAGTTCATAAATGTTCAAAGCATTTATTATATGTTTGTGTATAAATGGTTTTTAAACTTTACATTACATTTACTTTTCCAATACACTGTTTTCACAGAACTATAGCTCAGACCTTGCCCCCTGGACCTTGGAGGACTTTTGGTGCAGATGATAAGGTATTTTTTTAAATAACTCTTATGAACTGTACCACTTGATCATCATTCTTTCATTAAAAATTGTATATTGCTCATACCACAGGGCCTACAAAAGCAAGGTTCATCCAACAACTGCGGCGTGTTTGTTTTGATGGTAAGATGTTGGCTATTCAGTATATTTTACTGGTCATATTTGTGTAGAACAGTTTTTCAACTTATTATTCTCACACTTACGGCATGCAAATTCACACTATTGTTGCTCATACTGCTTGTATTTCTTGACACTGTTAGACATGTTTAGTAAACTTTTTACACTACATACACTGTTCATACATCTAAGTCCTAGGAGAGAGATGCTGATTTGATGACATGATGTGACTTCATGGCACCCTCTTCTAAATCCTCAAATTGATCAAACTAAACTATTGATTAATTCTTTATTTTTATTTACTATTTACAGGTAATCGTATATATGTGACAGATGGAAGCACAGATGGGACATATCAAACAGAGGTATGCATAAATTATGACGACATTTCATCATTGTGTACTAAATCAAGTCATATGTTATGTTTATTGTACTGTAATGTATCCACTTTAGACAGTATGTT